CTGCAGCTCTGCTCTACTCCAGAACAGCAGTCAACCCACTCGTGACAAGTCAAGCCTTATGAAAAGATGCCATTATTGCAATGGGTTATCCAGCGACGATCTTGATATATCACATCGCTGAATTGATAAACCATGGTAAATTTGTAATAACATAGGCAAGATGCTTACAGTATATGGCACTTCTGACATATCCAAACATAACCTTCCAAAGATGTCACACTACAAACCCTGCCAATGCAATCCCACTCCCATATGAAGGAGAACCTCCTGAGTGTGCAGCAGAAATGATGAAGTACACCAGACTATGACCAGATTTGGAATCGAGCCCAATTCCAAGACATTTATACAGACTCAGCTTATGCACATGGTGTTTTTTATCTGTTTGCTGCTGTTTGGAAGCAGAGAGGTTTGAGGAGAGCAGATGGTACTCCAGTACAACGTAAGAATCAACTGACATAACTGATCCCTGCAATGACATTTCCTTCTAAACTGGCAATAATAAAATGTAAAGTGCACATGAGGAGCAGTGAGCTGAAAGTGAAAGGAAACAATGCATCCATGTGCCAGACAGCTGTTATAGCAACAGTGACCTCTTTAGAACCTCTTGCAACACCAGAAGATTTAATTCTAATACAACAAGAAGAGAGTCCAGCTAAACTTGCTCTTTGGGCAAAAAGAGGTTGTACAGAAATTGATAAAGGTTCGTGGAGGTCACAGGCTGGCTATTAGGTGGTGCCGGTGGCACTCTTGACAGTAGTACTTTCAAAAGCACATGGGTTAGACCATTGTGACAGAGGAAAATTATTGAACAAGTTGAGCAAACCAAATTTCTGGTCTCTGTACATGCAAGCGTTGGTTAATGAAACTTTGAACCAATATGACATGTGCACACAATAACGTTCGGAAAGGCATTAAGTCACCAATAGGTTACATTCCGGTTCCAGAAGGACAATTTAAACACCTGGTGATGGACTATGTTGACATGATAAAATCGGTCAATGGTAAAAGATACATGCTTGTTGTTATTGATCGATTCAGCCGTTGGATTGAGGCTGTTTTATCTAGAACAATGGGAGCAGAAACAGTAAAAACATTGTTGGCAAATGAGGTGATTCCAAGGTTTGGCATACCCTCAGAAATCAATTCTAATAACGATCTGGCTTTTGTAAAAAAAAAAAAAAATACAAAAAGCTGTGTTGGAAAAGCTGTAGATCAAGCAGTGACTGGGTGTCATTTACCACCCTCAAAGCTAAGGCATGGTGAAATGAATAAATGGAACTTAAAAGCTAAGCTAAATAAGATCTGCGCATCTACTAAATTTAACTGAGTTGACGCTTTTCCACTAGCATATATGACCTACCGCATGCAAGTTCATAGAAGTATACATTTAACCCCGAATGAAATGCTTACTGACAAGGCATGTGCCTCAATGAAGAGTTATATTGAACAACTAACTGCATTCCATAGAGATATCTATTTGCAGGAACAAGCCAGACAGTCCACTCCAGAGTCGGTGGTGAAAAGACATGTGGAGCCAGGGGACCTGGTGTTTCTAAAGCAGTTCTGGTGCAAATGTAGCTATGGGAGATGGGTTGGTCCACATGAAGTCACACGGGGATTGGAGGATGGGTGTGAGGACAGCGATGGAATACAGTGTCTAGAGGTTGGGTGTGAGGACGACAACGAAGTATAGTGTCTGGGGGGCAGTGATGAAGCACGGCGTCTGGAGGACAGCCATGAGGACAGTGACTCAGAAACAAGAACCACCGTTTCAGCAGCAGGAACTTTGGAGACCGCCAACTGCGACACAGGAGGCTTGGGGACCACCGACTGTGGCACAGGAATCTTGGCAATTGGAGACTTTGGCTCAGGAGTCAACATATTGGAGGCACAGCTTGAGACCCACAAAGAGGCAGCACAGCTTAAGACCCACAAAGACGCACCACAGTTTGAGACCCATGAAGAGCCGGCACTGCAGATTCACCATGAGGCACTACAGATGACAAGTGATACCTCTGGAGGGACCTAAAAGATGAGGAGCACCCACTGAGAGGCCTAGGAGAAGAGGAGCACACATGAAGGGGCCTTGGAGGCAAGGAGCACCCACAGAGGGGCCTTGGAGATGAGGAGCATGCACGGAGGGGCCGTGGAGGTAAGGATTGCCAACTGAGGGGCCTTGGAGGCCAGGGGTTGAGGAGTGCCCATGGGGTCTGGCATCTAAAAGCCAGCATCAAAACAACTTCACATATAGTATATAAAATTGCTGGGTTACCACTAATCATCAAATTGCACAAGTTTCAATTAGGACAGTACATTTGATGACTGGAAACACCGAACTTTCTAAAATGTTCAATTCTTTGGATAAAAAAAACTTTAATGGATTACACGTCACTTGATATGAAGTTGGACCTTACTGCCTTGTAAAACAACAAAGAAGGAGACTGGAGATAGTTGGGAGATGATGGTGTGGCCTATTTAGATGAATGAAGATAAGAGACAATTTTTTTAATTTAGTTGCGACGATGAGCATGATCAGCAGTATAGCTGGGGCTGAAATATTGATACAGTATCTGTTTACATATGTTGCAGTCATTTTGTTTGCCAGAGATGAACACACGCATTTACAAGCAATTTTAATTTTATTTCTTATTTAATAGAAATACTACAATTTCCAAAATTAGCATTTTTAAAATAAACAGAAAATGAATATGATTTTGTGCACATTTTTAAAGTTCATACTATCATATTCAATAAACCAAAAAAGCAACCCATTACTTCCTTTTTTTGATTTGCTGGACCTAAAGACCTAAACTTTTTGTATGTAAACAGAAAGTCTCTGTTCCTCAATATTGTTTACAAATCTGTCCAAGTCTATATTAGGGAGCACTGTTTCCATGCCTAGACAATCCACCTTGTAGATTGTGGATCAACATGCTGTTTAGACAGCATTGTTATTGACTAGGTGTGCCTTGGCAGCAATAAAACGCTGCTCTAAAATTGGCAGTTTTTCTCGCAGCAAGAGGCCACTGTCATGATCTGCCCTGATAGCTGACCTTAATTCTTCACTTCATTGACCTGCCTAGTCTTATATTCGACTCAGTCCAGCTACCAGGGCCAGATGATTTTTTGTTGTTTGTCTGTTTTCGCTGGTTTGAGTTAGTCCAAGGTTCATGTCCCCATCCCTGGAAGCCAGTGGGTTGAGAGGTTTTTAGTCTTTGTCTTATCTCCTGATCGTGTCCTGGCTTCTAAGTGGAGTATAGTTTAAAGTCATGTAAGCCGGGCTCCTAGGCAGAAACCAGTTTAAAGTTTCTGTAGTTAACCTGGTACCATGTCTTGTCTCTGTCCCTCAACCACTGAGCCTGCCTATCTGATTCTGTGTGTTTCTGTCTGAGCTTGTTGCTCAAAGCATTGAACTCTGAACCTGCCTTCAAGCTCTGTATATTCCTGGAACCCTGGATCTGTCTTCCTGTGTGGATTGGAACCCCTGACCGGGCTCCGGACTTCTGGATTCCAGAACTGTCCTGTTTGATCTGTTTTCCCTGACCTGAGTTGGATCCCTGCCTGCTAACTCTGGTTGCTGCCTCTGGGACACCCTGGACAGCTTTGTGCCGCAGCTCATTTGGCAGACCAACGGCTGGATCCTGCCGTCCTTGGAGAGAATGGACTGAACTGTTTTACCAAGTAAGTGACTCAAACCGATAATCATCTCCCATCTGATGATCATGGTCACTTACCTGTGTTTCTCCCTCCAGAGTGTCAGTGATTGGGCGTTGCCCCTCCTCCCCCCTGCGACCACTGCGGTCCACTAGTCCACAGATCCACAGCTCTGCGCTTCTGTCCTCTTGTGTTTTGTGTTAATAAAGATCTTAACTTTTCCACTGTCTGTCTTACCTTCTATACTGGGTCCATCTGTTTGAAACAGTTTATTAAGCCTAAATTAACTTGAAATGTAGAAACCTGATGGCGAAATATGTTCAATTTTGTTATCTTGCTGCCTGCAATTTGTACCAAATACCTGAAAAACGCTAACATCTACTTCCAGCCGCAGGAAACAGTCGGGGAAAACCCCCAAGAGGCAAGCGGGGCTGAGGATTCCCAGTGACAGCGCAGCGCCGGTATGTGGGGGTCTGAGCGGCTCCCACAGAGAAATAATATTTGAAGGCAGGATGGCAATCTGGATGAACTGACTGCACAGACCATGTTTTCAGGAGGACTTTCTCACTTCAACATAGATTCTAACTACTTTCTACCCGCTGATCACAGCTAATATAGCAAAGCTGCTCTCTGGCATTGAACACAGAAGCAGCAGAAGCATCAGACGCATCTGGACTCACTTTACTGGATGTCTGACCTTAATGTGGACAAGCATCAAAAATTAGGGAATAGAAGCTTTTTTGCTGTCAAAAGCGCGTCCGGTGTAAACTTAGCATAATGCTACACTCACACAACATGTGATTGAGGCAGCAGAAGCAGCTATTTTACATGCCCAAGCTATGGTATAAAAACTACTTTTTACCCACTGATCGTAGCAAATATAGCAAAGCTGCTCTCTGGCATTGAACACAGGAGCAGCAGAAGCATCAGATGCATCTGGACTCACTTTACTGGACGTCTGACATTAATTTGAACAAGCAGAGAAATGAAGCAGCAGAAGCTTCTTTGCTGCCAAATCCCGTGCAGTGTGAACATGGCTTTAAAGTAGTCCATCCAATCTCATTCATATTCAAGCACAGGTTTTAAGAGTGACTTAACGTGAATAACAAAGGAAGTGGAGCGCTACTTTACGGTACTTATGTTTGGGTAGTAATCCTATATTCACAGATGAATGTTCTGGGAGATTATTACTTTTTAATAACAAATATCTGTATTTAGAAAGGTGTTGATTTTTTGCTTTAAAAAATCTAATTGCAGATAATCAGTAAATTAACAAGTTAAATACAAACATTGTTTTGTTTGTTTATTTTTTTTGTGTTTAGATTTTTTCTGTAGTTTTGACTTACCTCTCCATCAGTGCTGCTCTGGTTCTGTCATCCATCTTGTTGTTCATCTCCTCCAGTTTCTTCACCTTTTCTTGGTCTCCTCTCTCCTTCATCTTCTGGATCAGAAAGTCCAGCAGGACATGAGTGGAAGCGATGTTTGCTTTCACCGTGCTGGTCTCATATAGTTTAACAGCAAGCTGATAGGCTTCATCCAACAGGAGGATCTTCTCTGCTGACAGCTGTTGCATTTCTTTTATGACATTTTCCAACAGACCCGACCTGTTCCCACCCACTACCAGATTCTGTTCATACTTCTGTGACAGTGTTCTTTCAGTGATTAGGACTTTTCTGGATCTGATCACATATTTCTGGTTGTCTTTCATGTGCTTTGATGCAGGACACTTGCAGCTGCATGAAGTACAGCTTCCATTTTTCATGACTTCACACCTTTCTGGACTTAAGCCCATTGTACATCCAGGATAGTGACAGTTCTCCTCACAGACGGTGCAGTAGACAGCTGCTTCAGAAACCCACCCGGTTGGACCTGATTTAAATGGTTTTAGAGTTTTAAAAACTTCTGCTACCTCTGCAGTAAACTGCTCAGATTTATTCTTTTCTTTGTGTTTCTTTAGGGCTTCATCTTTCATGTTTATATCTTTCTGCTTTAATTCAGTGAACCTGATTCTCTCCTCCAGGTTCTGGATGCAGGCGGTCAGTCTGGCCCGTTCTGTCAGGGTTTCAAACATTAGTCGGATATTTTTAGGGCTGATGTCTTTAATGTAAGTCGTCATTCGATTAATTCCTCTCTCTGAGACTCTCCATGCATTCTCCAAGCCAAACTCATTTTCTTCAGTTCTCTGTGTCTTCTGCTGGTTATTGAACATGAAGTAGATGATCTGGTTCTTTGTATCTTTAGAACATTCAATGTTTGCCTTCTCCAGAGCTTTAAGGACCTCATGTGGAGGCATTCCATCAGAGTGGGTGATCAGAGCTACAGTATTTTCTGGTCCAAACAAAGAAACCACTGAATTAAAGATGTACTGCAGTCGATCACTAACTAGATGATCAGACGCCTTCATCACCAGACCCACTGCATGAAGGTCAGGAACTCCATCCTCTGACTGAAACAAGCTGAATAACATCTGACTGACTTCATCATCATGTTGGATCCCTCTGGTGTCTCCATATCCAGGAGTATCAATGATGGTCAGAGAGAAAGGAAGAGTATGATCTTCAAACCCAAAGATCTGATAGACGACCACATCTGATTTCTGACTTCTCCCCTCGTCTTCCTCCACGATCTGAAACCAGATTTTATCCTCAAACTTCACTCCCATGCTGTAGTTGACCAGAGCTTTGATCAGAGTAGACTTTCCTCTTCCTGTCTCACCAACAAGTAAGATGGTTCTATTTGGCTTCTCATTTTTCCTGCCAACAGTGACTTTGGTCAGATTTCCAGTCTTCTCTATTTTTGTCGGCAAATCATAGATGGCAGGACATTCTGAATCGATCTTATGACTGTTGGCAATTATTTCACCAAATTTTAACAAGATGTTTGGTTTCCTGTAAAAGCAAGAAAAATGTCCAGTAAATGGTGATAAAAATTATTTATCATACAAATTTTCTGCAAATGACAATGCCTCTAGTAGGCCCAGCTAAATCAGAGGACTGAATCTGATGTCATTTTATAAGATCACCACCAGTTGAAGGAACTTACAATGACTCAGGTTTCCTTAGATAAAATATAGAAAATTAATCACTCAGTCTGTATGATTTGGTTGCATTGTCTTTTTTAAGGTGCCTAGGCATGTACGTCTTGTTTTTGATTTTTTTTTTGTTGTTTGGGTTTTTGTTTTTTCATGTCCTGTTTTGCCAATATATATCTGGGTATTCATGTCCCACAGCTAATTTTCACAAGCAGAACATTATGACTGTTGCCAGAAGTTTCCCCTGGTAGCTGTATATGAAACTTTATTGAAAATGATTTAGGTTTAAAATCGTTGAGAAGTGACATGGATACGGAAAGGGAGGTGAGAAAGAATGAGGGGATAAGAACTAAGGGGAGAGAAAAAGAGGGAGAGGGTTAGGAACGAGAGCATGAAAAGATATAAAAATAAAACAAAACAGTGAAATTAAAAAACACAGAAGATATACAGTAATTCCTACAAGTCTGCTTCCACACCTGTGTGATGAGAGGGCCAAAAACAGAGTACTTAACAAAAGCAAAAAGAACATCAAAAAAACCTTCAAGAGCAGTGGGTATCCTTTAGATATCCTTGTGTGGAAGGTGTTAGAAACATGTATGTTATCATTTTATTTAAGTTACAAGCATTTGGCCTGCTAGGAATGAATTCTGTTGAACAAATAGTTCTCCCAGAATATGACAAGTCATGCTCTCTCAAGCCTGTGTGGTTGCAGCTGACTGTTCATCACCTTCAATAAAACTGCACAAGGAATTGTGATGCTGTATCATGTGTAAACCTCTGACCCCTCCTCACAACTTCTAACCCCTCCTGGTAACTGCTGACCACTCCTGTTATTCCTTTGAAGTCTAATATTAAAAGCAGCAGAAAAGAGAGGTTCTGGCAGAGTTGAGTACAGACTTTTCAAGGGGTCTCATCCTTGGTATGTTCTCACTCTCTTTTCTGCAGAAAAGAAAGCTTGATTTGTTTGGTTTTCATTTCTAGGACAATAAGGGGTTATTATTATTAACCCTATCAGAAGGCAAAATCTATGGTGATTACGCAATATTAAGGGTAGTAAACATCTGTAGCTGCAGCTTAGTATTAAGTATTAATGCGTATCTGTGAGAACCAGGAACCAATGTATGCATGAGCATGCTCAAGAATAAAGGATTGCAAAGTGTCTTAAGGAGAAAAATCTGTAGCAGGTGTGGAAGTCCCCAGACTCGCCCGTTTGGGCCCAGGTCAGAAAAAGAGAAGCCAAAGAGAAGCCCAAATACCCAAATGCACTCCAGATTGTTGGGACACAAGGAGGGCAGACATGGGATGGCTACATCCATCAGAGAAGGGTGGACAAGAGCACCTGGAGCCCGACCCCTGAGGGGCCTAATCCAAAAGGGGCTCAGTCCTTGAAGGGCATGACCTCAGAGGCCATAGTGTCAAGGTCCCACCGGGCTACGGCAGCGTGCCCATAGACTCTGCCGGTGGCCAGTCATGCCCAAGGTGGACTTGGACGAGAGCCCAGGGGTCCAAAGTCCTGGGGCGCACCACCTGATAGTCACCAGGAATAAGTCAGCACCCACTGAAGTACCCTACCCCGCACCTATAGACCCAGCAGTGTGCTAGCAGAAACAGGCACCTGTAAATGGTGTGAAACATAGGAAGGGGAAGGAAGCAGACCCTGCTCACACTTGGGGCCTAGGATGTTCAGTAGGTGGGGCAGGGGAGGCAAATACCCAACCTTAGAAGTAGACAAAGACAACTTCACAATCATTCAGTCATATTCACACAATCCTACCCGTACACCCATAAACAAGTACTCAACTGAGACGCACACAGGAACAGACACTAGCATATTTTTACGCACCTTATATATACACTATCCTACAACAACTCCCACATCCGAAGCTGAAGACGAAGGGGAGGCTAGAGACATGGAATCGAGTGGGCCATGTTATCTGCTTCCATTGATGATACAGCAACCTCAAGCTATGGTTGTAAGGTCTGCGGTGCATTTCATTGGAGGAAACCCGGACACCGGGGGGTAGATTCTGCCAATAAGGTATGCTGTCAAGCTAAAGAAGGATTCTTATCGAGCCTGACGTGTGGGACTCCTCAAAAGCAAGCAGGCACCGTTAGGTCAAGCATGTCGCAGAGGAAAAAACTCAGACATGAGAGGAGGTTGGACTTAATAGATTCTGGCAAACCCTCAGGGCCTCCGGAGGGGAAAGTTGTGCTTTGCTAGGTTTGTTTTCAGTGGGAGCGACAAGCTGCTGACCCTAAAAGAGTACCACTGGCAACTACCCTCAGACCCTGAAGCAGCTGGTGGACCTGGCTCCATGGGGAGATCTACATCTCACAGAAGACTGCAGAGAACAGAGGGCTGTCAGAAAATCCTTAACCAGCTCCTTACCCCACTCCCTCTATACCTATGGTGGTTCCTGATCTGGCACAAACACCAGATCCAGAACCGATGCAGCTGGGATGCAGGAGGAGAAGAACCAACGTCATCAGTTGAACCTGTGTCTCTACTGTGGTGGAGAGGAACACTGAGTGAGATGTTATCTGGTAAAAGGGACAGGCTCAGTAGAGGAGGGGAGAACTCTACTGAGCCATGGCAGACTCACTGTCTCCCCGGATCTCCTGATCTGTTGACTCTGTTGGTTAATTCCAGGAGTCAAAACCTGTCTACATCCGTGGACTCAGGTGCAGATATTGAAATCATGAATAAGGGGCTTTCCAAATGACTGGGGATAAAACTTCTCCCATCGTTGGCTTCCTGCAAGGTCATAGCCTTCGTCGTCTACCAGTTTAACCATTCTTCAATTATTTCTGCACCTGTTGAGCTTGTGTTGGGGGATAACTACTGTGAAAAATTATCTTTTATGATAACTGATTTACCTTAGGTCCTTATTTTTCTGGCTTTCACCTTTTTACGTAAACTAGCAGAATCTGGAGGTGTTAGGTTGGACTACTTCTTACTCTGGTTCGTGTTTACACTCTGCTCAGCCAGAACAGTCGGCTGAGAAGGAGGTGGCTTATCCAGACCTGTCTAAGGTTCAAGAGTCCGTTTTGGTCCCCTGAGTTTAGACCACCCACAAGCTTGTAATTTGACTTCAGTCTTTTCTTGTGTGAATGGCTATCACTGCTGTCACTCCTGAGAAGGTCCTTTTATTGACCACTGAATCAGGTCTGTGATTGGACGGTCACAGCACTGCTGAAGTCCTACGTCTCAATGTACATACAGTTTTGAAAAAGAAACATGGGACAGCAAACAGACCGTGAGGGAATCTGCTACTTTAAATTGGGAATTTGTTCTTCAAGTTGGTCATGTAATTTTCGGGTTGTAATATGAGATTTTAATGTGATGGAGTGTGTTTTTGTGTTTGGTTATTAGACTTTCAACCAGGATGCCTGAAAAACGAAACATAAGTCCATAAGAAACATAAGAAACTTCTTTAAAAGTTTTACATTCAAAGAACTGTGTAACACCAATCCTAAAACACCTTCACTGGCTAAAGCTGTATATCCACTTCAAGATCCTCTTCCGAATTATAAAGCTTTAAATAATCTTGTGAAAGGTATTTGTTTCACTAAAAGTGCTAAAAAATAATATGTATTATTATTATATATTGTTATTATCATTAAAAAAATTATAAAAATACGATCTATGAATGTGGTTTTATATATATATGCTGAGAGTAATTGTAAAACTATATGTTTTTAATCTAAATGAATTGTTGAACCCAAAATTGTTGAACTGTTAGTGTCATGCATCCATATATTCTGTCAGGAGAGAGATAACAGAGATGCCAGAAAGTGGAGGAAACAAACAAAGAACTACTAGAAAACACTTTTAACTTGTATATAAGAGTTTTATTAAAAAATAGTTCCTGAAATAAAAGTTTCATCCATGGTATTTTTTTAATGTTTGCCTTTTTAAAATAAAAATCTTTATTTTCAGTGCTGTTTTTGACAGCCAACTTAGATTTAGTCTTAGTCTTCAGGACGAAAACTGTTATTAGTTTTTGTCACATTTTAGTCATTATGATATGTGAAAGTTTTAATTGGTTTTACTTGACTAAACATTAAAAATGTTTTAATTTAGTTTTAGTCAGTTTTATGTTGCAAAAAAAGTTAACCTTTACAATTTTGAATAACAATCAGATTTTTTCCCAGACTGACAGCTCTATCCTAGATGTTACAATAGCTGGCTATACAGTGGGCGCTGGTTGGAAATGGACACTTCACTCACGCTCCGCGTGTTTCACGTATTGTGAACCACTGCGCTATAAGTTCGCAACACGTGACAGCCCTCCCAGTCTGCTACTTGACCAGACTGGGAGGGGTGTCACGTATTGCACGGCAAGAAAGTAACACACAAAAACAAAGCTTTCAACGGCACTTATATTTTACAAAACTAAAGAAAATATATTTTCTT